CTGTGCCGGCTCAGACCAGGGCGGGCCGTGGAACTGGCTGTCAAATGGGATAGCACCCTCATAGGCTTAGCCAGCACTTGATGCAGAAGTGTGTGCCTGGTACTCTTCTAGTGAGTGCATCAAAGGTTGATTATTTCACTGGATGTGGCCAATTTCCTACAGAGGGACTTCGTATTCAGCTGCATAGGGCAGAGCTATGCATAGGGAGGGGACAAAAATTCAACTCCAGGCCACAAGGAGAGATTGTTTTGCAGCATGGAACTTGGTGTAGTTCTGTTTTCACTGTGGTCCCAGAATCCACTTCTCCTCTGCCTCGGGGACTGTGTGCTGCTTTTGACCAGAGCGTTCTTTTGCTATGCAGCTGTGCAACCACCCTGTGTCTGGTGGCCGCTGCAGCTTCGGTGGTCTGTCTTTAGAGATCTGCCTCCCTCTCACCTAGCAGGCTATTTCAATCTAGCGAAGGTTGGTCAGACTGCAAATGACAAGGCATGTTTTCTTCCATCCTTGTTTCTAATTCTGTAAGCATTGGAAAGGTCTTCAGAAAGTTACTCAACCACCACGAGCTCAATTTTTTCATCTGCAAAATGGGGATGACCGTAGAAACAGTTGGGTTTAGATGAGATGGTACATGTGAGACATGCATATAATGATCTAGTAAAGTAATGACCTAGTAATGACCCAAAGCCTGGGGGAAGCTGAAGGTTATCATAGTCATTGTGGCCCCACTGACTGATCACTTTCAATATACAAGGATTGCAATGCCCTTGGCTTCTCTGCCCTTTTATCCTCATAGTTTATGGAGGGTGGAGCCCAGAGAGGACAGTGACTTGTCCAGTCTGGATGGACAGGTCTAGAAATTGGGAAGTTTCGTTCTAAGCAGTGTTTAGCCTGGACTGAATCCTGGACCATGGGTTTGTTCTTTGTTTCCTCTCTCTCTCTCTCTCTCTCTCTCTCTCTCTCTCTCTCTCTGTGTGTGTGTGTGTGTGTGTGTGTGTGTGTGTGTGTGTCTGAAAGACATCACTGGGACAGTTGGCAACAGTTGAATAAAGTCTGTAGATGATAGTATTGTATCAATGCTAACTTCCTGATTAGGCAAATAAACTGGTAATGCAAGAGAATGTCTTTTTTAGACAATGTACACTGAAGTGTTTAGAGGGGTATCTTGTGTGCAACGTAGTCTCAAATGTTTCGGAGAAAAAAACTGTATGGAGAGAGGACAGACTAAATATACACATTTGGGGTCTTTAGTAGGTGGCGTCCATTGCACTCATGTAACTTTTCAGTAGGTTTGAAACTATTTCAAAATAAAAAGTAAAAACAAAAACAAAAAACAACCCTCATCTGGTTAGGGCCCATGTGAAATAATAGCCCTTGGGTGTTAGAGTTATTGTAGAGCAAACCTGTGATCAAGGTGGTGTTTCTAGCAACTCCTGCCCTTGTGTGGTAGTGGGGGGTTTGTGTGAAAGGGTGCAGGTGGCCCTCAGGAGTTCAGTGAGACAGACTATCAAGTGAAGAAAGGAGAAGAGGGTGGATAAACTAAGAATGGCCCGTGAACATGGTACCCTTCCACCAGCAAAGGAGGCATTACTTGGAAATGATGTGTGCAGGGAATAGGAGAAACTGAGTCTGGCAGGAGAATTAGCTCTGATTTGGGCCTTAGCAAGTGAATTGGGTTCGGATGACAGGGCAGTAGATGGGACGGTCAGAAGCTCTAGGAGGGGGACTGGGACCATGTGGTGCTTTAAGACCAAACTTGAGGAGTGGGGTGTTGGAGGTGGGCTGCCAGGTGCCCTGGAACCCAGAGCTTGTGTGATCTACACAACTAGCCTCTACCTGTGTGCCACATCACAGTAGACACCTTGGGCATGGGTTGTTACAGAACCAGGAGGAAACCCCTGGCATGAGGTGTGGCACTGAATCCTCCTCGGGTCCTTGGGAGGTGGCAGCAGGGAGCTACTGCAGGCAGCGGAGTCTCCGTTGCCAGGGCCTTTGGTGTGCAGGTACCCTAGTTCAAGTTTAATCGCTCCACAATGCTGCTTTATCTGAAAGTAGCACATGAATGGTTCCTGTTGTAAAAGATTTAAACCGGACAGAAGGAACACACCCACGGCCTCCTCCAACCCGACCGCCCTCCCCCTTCCCAGTCCCGTCCCAGAGGTAACAGGTGTAGACAGCTCCTGCAGTCAGTCCTTCTTCAGAGTATCTGTGGAATCGTGTTTGCCGAATGGCTGGGACTGTGGGCTCTGGAGCCAGACTTCCCGCATTCTCGAACCACCTACAAACTAGCTGCAAACTTTGTAACTTTGGGCATGTTACCTACCCTCTTCGAAGCCTGCGTCCCCTCATCTGTAAAATGAGATTCTTCGTACAGACCTAACAGGGTTGTTGTGGACACTAAGTGAGTTGGCACCTGAAAAGTATTTAGAACAGGGCCTGGCATATAGTAACTGTCTCAAGAAATGTTAGCCGTCCTTATCTACCGATCTATAAGGGCCAATTTTTTTTTTTGGTTAAAAAACAAAAAGTCCTAATGTGAATATTTTTATCAGTAGCGTTCTTAGTTGCAAACAGTAGCTCTCGGCTGGCCGATAGTGACGGAAATTTCTTTAAAAGACATCAGGGTGGTCCCCAGTCTTGCTGTGGGCCCAGCCCAGACTGTGGACACCAGGCAGCAGCCTGGACCACGGCCACCATTATGCCCCGAAACCAGGCTGATAGCATCGCTGCAGTTAATGTTACTGGTGGCATTTGCAGGCCCCAGAGTGAGAGGTGGACCTGGCCCCCACCAGGACTTGAAGAAGGCAAGGATTCCTAGATAGGAGGGAGTTCAGATGCCAGGGGCCCAGCATCTCCCGGAATAGCATGTTATTCACCCGAGCTGTCAGTGTTCACAGACACACACTGACTCAGCCTTTTTCGTGGTTGCATAGTATTCCCAAGACGGACATTGATGTGCCTGAGCCTTCACCTAGCGATGAACCTGTAGGTTGTTGATGCTTTTCGCCCTGTTGCAACATACCCCACTGAGCACACTTGTACACGTATCTTTACGGCAAGGTGGCTTTTCTGTTGGATAGATTCTTAGACCTGGAAAAGTATAAGTGTATTCATTATTGTTCAAGTTAATATTTCTTGTATTCTGTGGACATCGAAGGACATTCTGAATATGAGTAAACCGTGTTTTAAGCAGTTTTTTAAAAATTGTGGTAAAATATACGTAGCCTAAAATGTACTATCTTAACCGTTCTTAAGCGAATGGTTAAGTACTTTCACACTGTTGTGCATCCATCACCACCATCCGTCTCCAGGACTTTCTTCATCTTCCGCCACTGAAATTCGGTCCCCACTGAACAGCTCCCAGTTCCCTCTCCCCATGGCAGCTCCCTTTCTACTTTGTGTCTTTGTGGCTTTGACTGTTATGCGGTTGTTAGAGCTTTATCACAAAAGTCATCCGTACGGGAGTGATTGTGGGAGGGCTGTGGGATGATTTCGATTGGGAACTTGGGCATTTTTGGAGAGGGGTGGGAGTGAGGCCTGGAGATCCCTCTGTTGGTAACAGCTCAGAACTTTTAAGCACTTGCAGCGTGCCCAGCATCCTGGCCTGCTCTGATGCTTCCTCCTGCAGCTGTACCTCAATGTCGCTGAGGGAGCTTTAACAATGCGGGGGCCCTGGGCTAGGCCCAGCAGTGGACCCCACACGTCAGCACTTTACAAGGCTCCAGGTGGTTCCATTGTACAGGCGAGGTCAAGAACCCCTGCTCGAGAGGATAGCTGCACTGAGTCACTACCCCCATCTGGGGTAGGGATTAGGATTATTCCTAATCTGGGGTGCCTGGGTGGCTCAGTCGGTTAAGCGTTTGACCTCGGCTCAGGGTCATGATCTCACGGTTCACGAGTTCGAGCCCTGCATCAGGCTCTCTGTTGTCAGCACAGAGCCCTTGCAGATCCTCTGTCTCCCTCTCTCTCTGCCCCGCCCCCACACTCTCAAAAATAAACATTAAAAAAAAAAAAATCCCAAATAGTGAAGTCTCTCCCATTAAAAAAAAAAAAAAAAAAAAAAAAAGGATTATTCCTAATGTACAGGTAGGAAACCAGGTCTGAGAAAGTGTTACACAGCCAGTGAAGGCAGACCCGCCTCCTGGCTCAGACCCCTAACTGCAGTGATTTTTACTGCTGTCCACCCATAGATGGAGAGGGGAAGAAAACCCTCTGCCCTCATAATGGAGGAGACTCCTGCCTCTTCCTCTTCCTCAGCCTCATCCACCTGCTTTCAGATTGCCCAAATGCCACATCTCTGGTCTCCCTGCTTGGGGTTCGCTCTGCCTAGAATGTTGTTACCCTCACTCCTCAGATAGTTTTGCTCACCTGCCCCAACTCTAAATTAGGCCTCCTGTTCTTTTTCTTGCAGAATGCTAGAAACAGTAAGTGATGATGTATTTATCTGCCTTGATTCCCCAGCTGCTGGCATACAGTAAGTTAGAGATGCATGGATGGGAAGAAAGCAGTAAGGACCAGGAGCACATGCACAGGTGGAAAGTCAAGAGAACTCCCTGCTCACTCAATCATGGCGCCTAAGAACACACATGAGAGTTGCCTGCTTTTCAGGGGCAGGTGAGGGGCTTGGACCAGCTGGCTATGACTTGCTCAGAGTTAGGGTTACCTTCTGAAACTAGGGATGACAGACAACTCTCAGGTGCCTCACACGTCAGGGTCACAGGGGAGCCTGACACCTAGGGCTGCTGGGCCCAGCCCGACTTGGACTTGAACTGGTGTGGGCATGGGTCTTTGGTGGGAGGCGAGGGTATGGCTGAGTGACGTGGGCTGGAAGGTCGGGGGAATGGGGGGAGAGGTGTGCTGCCCCAGCAGGAGCTGGGTGGGGAATATGGTGCAGGAGGCTGGGTTGAAGCTGTCCCAGCTTGTATAAGCAGGCACCCTCAGCCAGACCAGAGGGCCCTGGAAGGTTATCAGGTGATTTCAGAGTCTGTGCTATGGCTCAGTGCTATGGGGGTTTCTCAAATGTTGGGCTTGACTCTTTTTTTTTTTTTTTAAATTCTCTTTTCACCACATAAAAATGTGCAACCGAAATAAAATCTGTCTGATTAAATACCCCACATTTCAACATACTGGAGCCCAATCGATGCACTAACTAGAACTGCCAGGGTGGCTCACGTTGGGGCAAATAAGTCCCCTGCCTTTTTGTCTGTGTTGGAATTCTTAGAAGTGAGGTATTAGTTAGGAAGCTTATAGGTAGCCCCAGGTTTGTTAAATATTCAAGCATGCATAGAACGCTCACGTGCTATTGTGCAGATACTCACCTGTGCTCTTGGTGGGCCCGGCTTGGGGTGTCTTCATAGCTCAGTGGCCAGTTTAATAATGTATGATGTGTCACTTTGTGGAAGTGTCTCACAATGGTTGGTTACAGGCTTATTGTTGGGTTTGGGTGCATCGTTTGATTTCTACATTTGTGATTAGGACACAAGCAGTTGTTTTGTATTGTGGGAGACCAGTATTGCCTAGTGGTTAGGGTGTGGAGTCTGGTCTTGATTCCCACCTCTGCTTCCCACTACCTGTGTGGCCTTGGGTAAGTCACCTGGCCTCTCTGTGCCTCCTTTTCTTCATCTATTAAACGAGGATAATAATAGTATTATGAGCTTACGTAAGTATAGGTCAAGTGCTTAGAATAGTGTCTAGCAACTAATCATTATTGTCTAAGAATTTTCCATTGTTTCCAGTTTTGCTATCATTTTTAGTAATTATACTTTGAAAGAAAATAAGTCTACCACTATTTCAAGCCTTGGGTCAATTGAACTCCTGTGTTCTCAACCAGAGTAGTATTGCCTCCAAGGGGACAAAAAAAATCTAGCTATGACAGTGGTGCGCAGCCCTCCGAAGGGTCACTATAACATAAAGAGATACAAAGTATATCTATGGTGTTAAGATTTCGTGGAGGAAGGAGAGCACAATTAGGAAAAAATGTCTACCACGGCTCCTTAAGGGGGGGTGATAATGAAAGAAAGGTTGAGAAACTCTGATTTACCTTAAAGACTATCCTAAGATCAAAAGGCAGCCTCCTGAAAGCCTGTTAGCATTAGCTACTACTTATCTGTGGAAATCGAGATTTTTTCCCCCGTTCTCTGCAATTAAAAACAAAATTCAGAAAGAAATTACCAGTGTGGCTCAACCGCAACCTTGAATTTCAGGCTGCAGCAAAACACCTTTGTTCTTCTCCTTGACTTCTCTGATGTTTATGGTGAGGATTTGCATACTCATAACAAAAGTGCCACCCCCGTGTGAGGGTTCCACCAGCCTCCTGGTTGTGCAGGGTGGACACCGTGGTGACTCTGGTCAGGTTAGGTGGCAGGTAAGGCCTGTCTGTGGCCTGGGAGGTGAGGCAGCTGCTTTCCTGAGCCCCGGGCAAGGTAGCAGACACGGAGAGGGGCGTGCAGGGGTCCTGGAGTGTTGTGAGCTGTCTGCGGGACTCCTCAGAAAGGTTCAGGGCCCACGTGCAGTGTGACAAAAGACAAAGACCCTCTTTATTGCCACAAAGGTGGGTGGGGGGCTGAAGCCCCCAGATGGGGTACAGGCTTGAAAACCAAATCAAGTTGACCAACAACCTTAGGTTACAGTCACGTGGCATCTCCATTACTCCTGAATTTCCCGTTTGGGGTTTTATTAGCTTGTAGTCAAAGGCGACATTGTGAAGAAACCCAGATTAGAATTCAGCTTATAAAACAGCTGAGAGAGGGAGGAGGCTTGGGATGGAAGAGCCAGGAACTGCGCAGCAAGTCGTCGAGAGGTTACTCAACAAAATCAGAACCCAAACGACCACTGTCTGTGTTCCTCGCGAGTAGGGAAGGAGCTCCGAGCAGGAACCCAGGGAGAGGCACAGGTAGCTCCTCATTTCTGTCCTCAGGCCTGGAGGGTCCTCCGATCTGGGAAGAATTTCCCACGGCCGGTGACTGGGTTGGGGCCTGGACAGCCTCCCACAAATATACTAATGAACAACACACCCTGGCCATGACTTTGCCAATTGGAAACAGCTTTGGGGCTCCGACATGAATGTGGAGCCTAATGCAGACCTGACGGGGGTTTCACCAGCTTGTGGGAAAATAATGAATATCAGATAAGCAGTGTTCCCAATAAGTGAGCACTTTGGGGTAGCTTACCTGAGATGAGGAGGTGAAATGAACCTCTTCTTCCCAGCCCTGTAAGGAAAACAGGTTTGTTCTGGGGAGGGGCGGGTGCAGAAGAGGGGTGGTTCTATTTTACCAAATCAGAAGGTGAAGACAGCAGACTTGAGAGTTTGCGGTTTTCCCAGACTGAGGCTCCATCCAGCCTTCCTGCCTCTGGTGCCAGTGCCTGGTGCTGCCTGTCCCTGCCACCCGTGCTGAGTGGCTGTTCCTCCTGGTTCAAGTTAGAGTCGTAGGTTCCCAAGGACGAAATTGTAATCCGATCCCCACCCCAACTCACTATGGTGACCTCAGTATGTGTCTTAGCCATTTTGTACTTCAGATTCTCTGTCTACAAAATGGCAACCTGCTGATCTTTTTTTTTTTTTTAATGTGGAAGAGACAATAAAATGAAATCCCAGTTCTAACAGCCAGAAACTGTGAGCCATTTAAAATTTTGTCTGTCTTATGTTTATGAGAAAGGATAAAATAGCAGATACCTAAACCAACACCAGGGACTCCTTTAAAAGCTCAAATTCTAGGGCAGAGGTTCTTAATTCTGGCTGCACGTTAGCGTCAACTGGGGAGATTGTGAGAAACACTAGTCCCTGAGCCCCACCCCAGACCAATTAAATTATAATCTCTGGGAAGGGAAGTCTAAGCATCTCTGTGTTTTGAAAGGCTCTCTCTGGGTCAGTCTAATGGGCAGCCCTGGTTGGGAACCATTGTTTGGAGTATGCCAGTGGATGTAAAGCTTTCAGGCTTTATTTCCAGAAACACTGGGCAAGATCATTTTTCCCTTTATCTCTTTATGTAATTAATGGCTTAAAAAATACATCCTATGTATTTATTTAATTGAGATAAAATTTATCTCCAAAATTCACCCTCTTATGAAAGTGAACAAGTTGGTGGTTTTATTATACTCACAGAATTGTATAATCATCAACACTACCTTGCTCTAGAACATTTTCATCACCCCAAAAAGAAACTCTTATCTGTTAACATTCCCTCCCTCTTATCTTCTTCCTCCAACCCGGCAAGCACTAATCTATATTTTGTCTCTCTGGAGTTGCCAGTTCTGAACATTTCATATAAATGGTGTCGTAGAGGGGCGCCTGGGTGGCTCAGTCAGTTAAGTGTCCAACTTCAGCTCAGGTCATGATCTCACAGTTCGTGGGTTCAAGCCCTGCCTCGGGCTCTGTGCTGGCAGTTTGGAGCCTGGAACCTGCTTCAGATTCTGTGTCTCCCTCTCTCTCTCTGTCCCTCCCCAGCTTGTGTTCTCTCTCTTTCTCTCTCTCTCTTTCTCAAAAATAAACATTATAAAAAAAATTTTTTTAATAATAAAATAAATGGAGTCACAGAACGTGTATCCTTTTGTGAGTGGCTTCTTTAACGTAACATAATTTTTTCAAGGTTTATTCATATTATAGGATGAATCAGTACACATTCCTTTTTTATGGCCCAATAGTATTCTGTTGCATGGATATACCACGTTTTGTTTATCCACTCATCTTTTTTAAAAAACTTTTTTAATGTTTATTTTTGATAAAGAGAGAGACAGTGTGAATGGGGGAGAGGCAAAGAGAGAGGGAGACACAGAATCCGAAGCAGGCTCCGGGCTCTGAGCTCTCAGCACAGAGCCCGACAGGGCTTGAACTCTAGAACTGTGAGATCATGACCTGAGCCAAAGTTGAACGCTTATCTGCTTAACAGACTGAGCCACCCAGGTGCCTCCATCCAATCATCTGTTGATATATGTTTGTGGTATTCCCACTTTTTGACTATTATGAACAGTGTTGTTATGAACATTGTGTACAAGTTTTTGTGTGAAAATACACATGCATTTTCAATTCTTTTGGGTATATAGCTAGGAGTGGAAGTGCTGGGTCATACAGGAACTCTATGTTTAAACATTTGAGGAATTGCCAGCCTTTTTTCGATGTAGCTCACCAATTTACACTGCCTCTAGTAGCATGTAAAGAGTAGTTTACTGTCACTATTTTTCTCTCAGGTCTAGAGCTGAAGGCAGTTGATAAAGTGTGTATTGAAAGTCTTTGTTGGGGCGCCTGGGTGGCTCAGTCGGTTGAGTGTCCGACTTCGGCTCAGGTCATGATCTCGCGGTCCGTGGGTTCGAGTCTCGCGTCGGGCTCTGTGCTGACAGCCCCGAGCCTGGAGCCTGCTTTGGATTCTGTGTCTCCCTCTCTCTCTGACCCTCCCCTGTTCATGCTCTCTCTCTCTCTGTCTCAAAAATAAATAAATGTTAAAAAAAAATTAAAGAAAAAGAAAGTCTTTGTTTTCCCACAACAGAGGTACTACACCTCTGTTGGACCTATTGTCAACTAAAGACTGAGTATTTTTTAAGTCTTGAAATGATAGATTTGCGTGCAGGTATATTGTATGCACCTGCACTCTGGGGGAATTGATATTTTAATTTTAATTTAATTTAATTTAATTTAATTTAATTTAATTTAATTTAATTTAATTTTAGAGAGAGAGCATGTACAAGTGGGAGAGAGGGGCAGAGGGAGAGAGACAAAGAGAAAGAGAGAGAATTCCTAGCAGGCTCAGCGTGGAGCCTTATGTGGGGCTTGATCCCACGACCTTGGGATCATGACCTGAGCCAAAATCAGGAATCAGATGCTCAACCAGCTGAGCCACCCAGGTGCCCCAGGATTGATATATTGATAGAAGCCTTTGGGGGCAGCAGGCAGGAGTGCTTCTCAGTTCATGTCCTTTATTCTAGTTTGTTCATATAAAGATTTCCAGGTGGTTTCTCCACTCTTGTACATTTTTAAAACAGTGGACATTATGTAAAAATTAAATTACCACTGCAGTTGGACCCTGGGGATTGATAAGTCACTGATAAGGACTGTCATCCACTTGGATGCTTTTTTTTAGAGCCCTGTTACTAAGAACTGACCAGCATTTCTTTCCTTGGCTTGACTCCCATCTGTAATTCACAGCTTTTATTATTGAGAAAGAAAGATAGTTCCAAATGCAGGTATAGCCATTTAGGAACGTTAACTCTCACCTGTCGGGCTCCTGCATCCTGCCTGGAGGGGCTTGGGGCAGCGGCCATGGTGGAAGGTGAGGGCATGTGTCCCTAGGACTGGCCCTGTGACTTGTCCGTTGGGATTCCATCCACCTTGTTGGGAAGTTAGTGGCTGTTCTTCTACTGACACAACACTGATCTTGCCTTGTTGGCGGCCCTTTTATCCCTGAGACCGTTTGTGTTGGATTTTGACCAGACAGGCTCTGCAGTCCTCCTGGGCCCTGTGGACTGTGACCACAGAATGTGTCAATGGGTTAGTGGTTTTGTGCCACGTTCAGATTCTGATAGAAGATGGTTAAGGTCATAATGCAAAAGCTGTATGAATATCTTGGTTCTGCTTGCATATTAGGGACAAAACAACAATCCTTCTTACTGATTAACCTGTCTGTTGATTAACTGCCACGTCCTGGGCTTCAGGATAGGTACTCTTCATAAGTTACTGTTTCATTTAATTTTCTGAAAAAGTCAATTCCAGAGCCTGTGATCCCTCAGCTAGCATGCGGCCCATACTGAATCGAGAGCGGGGTTTGTGCTAAACCAGACTAGCAAAATCTTGGCGAACTGAGGCCCTTTGATCTCAATAGACTTGTTTTAAAGGATTTTTTATGGGTTGAGAACTGTTCTTGGTGATAGAAATCCAGAGATAATGCCTCCCTTCAAAGAGCTTATAGATGAGTAAGGGGGCCATCATTTATCTCATGCAACATAAAATTGTTGCATGTATTATAATTGCAGTAGGAGAAAATGAACCCAGGACACAAACTGATATCAGCTATTTGGTTCCAGCAGAAAAGGAAACACAGTCTTTTAAGTATTTGATGTCAACACCGTGTACATTAAATCCAGTCTCCTAAATGTGAACAGTGACTCCACTCCCTGGTCAGAGATGCCATTTGGGGTGACGCTGGGAAGGAGCTGCATGATACGCTATCACCAAAAAATGTTTTAGCTACGTTTGTTTCTTCTACCAAGGTTTTCTCAGATATTTAAGAAGCATCCTCACTGATGCAGAAACAAATAGGGATTTCAACTGATTATTTTATTTCATTTTATTTTATTTTATTTTTTTTAATTTTTTTTCAACGTTTATTTATTTTTGGGACAGAGAGAGACAGAGCATGAACGGGGGAGGGGCAGAGAGAGAGGGAGACACAGAATCGGAAACAGGCTCCAGGCTCCGAGCCATCAGCCCAGAGCCCGACGCGGGGCTCGAACTCACAGACCGCGAGATCGTGACCTGGCTGAAGTCGGACGCTTAACCGACTGCGCCACCCAGGTGCCCCAACAACTGATTATTTTAAAAGTAAATCTCGTCCTCTTTTATAATTGGTATGGGAAGAAACATTTCAGGATTGTTTATTCCTTACTTCTCTAAATCTCATAAACAGAGTTTGATGCCCTGTTGTCTCCAACTGATTCAGGTCCAGGTTAGCACCTGCCTGCCTGACATGTGCACCTTGGTGATGGGAGGCCAGGAGTGGTCTGACTCCTTCTTGTCTCCTTTGTGCTGTTTTCTTCCTTGTTCCCAGCCACCGAGCTCTTCCCACTTTGAACCTTCCCTTGTGCTTCCCGTTCCCCACACTCTTCATCTGGGTAACCCCCTATCAGCCTCTGGGTCGCTTTCTTGGGAGGACTTCCCTGGGCCCATAACTTTAAA